TCTTGGTGTGTAACACCTTGGCCTCGGGCTCGCTCTCTGTGCCGCCCTGGCTCATCGCTCCGGTCACCGCAGGTCCACCGAGTCCGCCATGTCTGTCAGCAGCCAGGCTCGCGAGAGCAGGGGGCGGGGCAGCGAGCGCAGGAGGGGCGGGGCAGCGAGCGCAGGAGGGGCGGGGCCTCATCTAGTGTCTCCAGCACAGGAGCCATTTTACTGCAGCCATTCTCGTTAATCCCAATACAAAGGTGATCTCCAGAAAAATGGCCGCTTCCTTAGTAACCAGTTCTCTGTCCTGGAGACACTCCGTGCGACTGTCTGCTCAAGAGTTTAGATCTCTATGGGTGTGTCACAGAGGGCTGGGAGCAACCAGGTTATTTACTGGGAGTAACTAGGAAGTGAGGGAGAGTTAGACTAATGGGCGGGGCTAAGGACAGGTGGGGAAGTAGCATACCTGCCAAGTGTCCCTATTTATGAGATCAGTCCCTATTTTGGGCCCAAATCAAACTGTCACTCTTTTTTATCCTAATGTCCCTCTTTTCTAGGAGCTCCATATTGTTGGTGTCTCTGAGTGTATAACAGAGCTCCACAGTAATAATACTCCCAGTAATGTGTCTGAGTGTATAACAGAGCTGCATGGCAATAATACTCCCAGTAATGTAGCTCAGTGTATAACAGAGCTCCACAGCAATAATACTCCCAGTAATGTACCTCAGTGTATAACAGAGCTCCACAGCAATAATACTCCCAGTAATGTGTCTGAGTGTATAACAGAGCTCCACAGCAATAATACTCCCAGTAATGTGTCTGAGTGTATAACAGAGCTCCACTGTAATAATACTCCCAGTAATGTGTCTGAGTGTATAACAGAGCTCCACAGCAATAATACTCCCAGTAATGTGTCTGAGTGTATAACAGAGCTCCACAGCAATAATACTCCCAGTAATGTGTCTGAGTGTATAACAGAGCTCCACAGTAATAATACTCCCAGTAATGTGTCTGAGTGTATAACAGAGCTCCACAGTAATAATACTCTCAGTAATGTGTCTGAGTGTATAACAGAGCTCCACAGCAATAATACTCCCAGTAATGTGTCTGAGTGTATAACAGAGCTCCACAGCAATAATACTCCCAGTAATATGTCTGAGTGTATAACAGAGCTCCACAGCAATAATACTCCCAGTAATGTCTGAGTGTATAACAGAGCTCCACAGCAATAATACTCCCAGTAATGTGTCTGAGTGTATAACAGAGCTCCACAGCAATAATACTCCCAGTAATGTGTCTGAGTGTATAACAGAGCTCCACAGCAATAATACTCCCAGTAATGTGTCTGAGTGTAACAGAGCTCCACAGCAATAATACTCCCAGTAATGTGTCTGAGTGTATAACAGAGCTCCACAGCAATAATACTTCCAGTAATGTGACTGAGTGTATAACACAGAGTTCCACAGCAATAATACTCCCAGTAATGTGTCTGAGTGTATAACAGAGCCACACAGCAATAATACTCCCAGTAATGTGTCTGAGTGTATAACAGAGCTCCACAGCAATAATACTCCCAGTAATGTGTCTGAGTGTATAACAGAGCTTCACAGCAATAATACTCCCAGCAATGTGTCTGAGCGCATAACAGAGCTCCACAGCAATAATACTCCCAGTAATGTGTCTGAGTGTATAACAGAGCTCCACAGCAATAATACTCCCAGTAATGTGTCTGAGTGTATAACAGAGCTCCACAGCAATAATACTCCCAGTAATGTGTCTGAATGTATAACAGAGCTCCACAGTAATAATATTCCCAGTAATGTGTCTGAGTGTATAACAGAGCTCCACAGCAATAATAATCCCAGTAATGTGTCTGAATGTATAACAGAGCTCCACAGCAATAATACTCCCAGTAATGTGTCTGAATGTATAACAGATATCCACAGCAATAATACTCCCAGTAATGTGTCTGAGTGTATAACAGAGCTCCACAGCAATAATAATCCCAGTA